GACACCCGATCGTGATACTGCGACGCACCACAGAGGAGTGAAGACACGGGTCGGGTTCTGAGAAGCAGCTGGGACGGCAGATAAACGCGGAGAAAAAAGGAGAAAAAAAAAAAGAAGCTGAGACGCGCTGTGCCTCAGGTGTCGTATAGACGAGCCCGGCCGATACGTGCTGCTGCGACCTTGAAGAGCTGCAACAGCGCTGACGATTTAGGTATCGAAAGGCAAGCAGCATATGATTTATTTACTGCCTTTTTACAAAAACGGCAGGTTAGGGGAATAGATTTACAAAAGGATTTACCAGGGCTTATGGCTATGCTAAGGGAGTTTTTATTAACCCCCATACTGCTCACGAGTTAACGGAGTGGCGTAAATTTGGTGATTTATTGTGGGAGGCTACTTTAGAGGATGATAAAACTGCCAAGAAGTTAGGTAAATTATGGAGGGTGGTTCACAATGAGATGTTAAAGCATCAGGCTGAGAAAAAAGCAGCCGAGCAGGCAACAGCTGCACATGGCCGTAATAAAGATTATGATCAGGAAATGGGTATTCCCCTCGCCCCTGTAGTGAGGACGGTTTTCTTGCCTGCTTCGCCGTCCTCCTCTGCTTCAGCAGGACTGGGTATAGAGCGCGCCTCTGAGGCTTCCGCACCCCCTGAAGAACAGGAGCAGTGGCCAAGACCACCCGATAAGCTCCCGCAAATCAATGAGCCGATCCCTGGGGCGGAAAATGACCTAGCGGAGGGTATTGCGAGGGAGAAACGGGAGGCGTGGGCTGCGCTTGCAAGAGAAGGCATGGAAAAGGGGGATGAGGAGGTTATCAGCACTGCTACCCAGCTGGCTTGTCCTGTTGTATTCAATCCGCAGGAGGGAGGGGGCATGCAGGCTACCATTACAGCCCTTGATTGGAAATTGCTGTCTCAGCTGAGGTCTACTGTTAATCAATTTGGAGGGAAAAGTGAGCCAGCCAAACAAATGTTAGACTATATTTTTGATACCAGTCTTCTCTTGGTAAATGATTGTCGGGGAATAGCTAAATTGATATTCATTCAACATCAGCAGTTGTTATTCAATGCTCATTGGCAAGAGCTTGTAAATGAATGCGTAGTGGTACAGCAACAGCAGGGAGATCCTCTCCATGGTATAACTGTGAACAAGCTTATGGGCTTGGGACCTTTTCTTCGTACCGAAGCACAAGCTTTGCTGGGGCAAGATAAGTGCTGGGAAGCTATGTGGTTGGTCAGGCTTGCTATAGAGAGGGTAAAAGAGCCAGGAGGGGTACCCGTGTATATGGGAATTAGGCAAGGGCCAGAAGAATCATTCGGGTCATTTATTGATAAGGCTGCTGCTGCAATCGAAAGGGCTGGAGTACCAGAATATCTTAGGGGGGCATTACTCAAGGAGTGCGCTCTCCAAAACTGCAATTCTACTACTAGGAGAGTGCTTAATACTCTGGATGCCAATTGGACTATAGAGGAGGCATTAGAGAGGATGGCTTTGGTGCCAACAGGAGCAGAAGCCTTTGTAGTAGATGCAATCAAACAATTAGGGCTAAGCTTACAAGAACAGGCAAAGACCTCTCAGAATCAGGTGTTAGCTGCTCTTGCACCTCTTCAAACGTCAACAGCACTGCCTCCAACGCCTAGTTGGTGCCAGAACCGCAGTGACCACGCACCAACAGAAGTCGTCGCTGCAGCATCAGCACCCTCTCCTGTCTCCAACCCGACACCACAGGGAGCTTCAGCTTGGAACCAGAAGCCGCCGTAGAAGCTATGCTGATGGCCCCGCACCCACAGAAAATTCCGACAGGGATTCAGGGATTCATGGACCGATTGTTACAGAGTCAAGCTGGGTGCTTTGTTTTTTGGAAGATCATCTGTGTTTGTAGGGATTATTTGTTTTGCTTGGCGTCATTGGTGTGGACTATATGTTATGGTGCATACTCTTTTCCCACCACTCTAAATTAACAAAGGACTGAGAATTGCTCAGCTGGTGCCACTTTAGCCAAATGACTAAGGGATTACAGACTATAAAAGGACAAGAGAGGGGGAAAAATGGTTTTGAATCCACCGGAGGACTTACCTTACTGACTTTGAACCTTTCTGAGAGACCCAAGAAAAGGGTGGAAGTGGAATTTCAAGGACAGAAAGGATCATTTTCAGGCTTGTTGGACACTGGGGTCGATTCCAGCATTATTAGCCCTAGCCTTTCGCCTCCTCTCCGGGTTCGCATGAATGAAAACAGCTAACAGCCTTCTTTTCTTAGTCCAATTACCACCTACCGTGCAATGCCTGATAAGGCAGGACATTATGGCTCAGTTGGGGGTGGTTTTAACCCTTTGGGGTAAAAGCCATTGCTTGGACCATGGCTGGGGAACCTTGTGACATTTGCTATAGGGATACTAGGTGTGCTTTTAATGCTTTTGCTTATTTTGCCTTGTATTTTTAATTGTATTCAAGATATGATCAGTAGAATGATAGAAAAAACCTTGCAGACTAACCTCCTTGTGCAAAAAGAAAAACGGGGAATATGTTGGAGAATTTTGCTCAGACATGGCTTATAGAAAGGCCATGAGCACATACAGCTGGTTAAAAAGTAAAAGGCAGCTGTAAGCAGCAAGTTCTCAGGCTTTTTCCTTAACAACAATAAACACCATGTCCTTGAGTAAAGTGATGAGAAAAACATGGTGGAACACATGGAGTCCTCAAAAGGGTGCTCAATAACAAGTCAACAACAGGATGAGAAAAACAAGTATTAGCCTCAACAAGAAACCACAGGTATTGAAAACAAAGGAGGGGTTGGTGTGTAATCTGTAACCACTGATGAGCTTGGGTTTTGCAATACGTATGAGCTTAATTAACACTACTATAAAAGTGTGTAAGCTGGATCAATAAATCAGAGATCGATGCTCATCAATCAGGATGTGTGCTCGTCTCCCTTCACTTTCCTCAGCTCTGTACTGGCAGGGACTGGGACAGAGCGGCTTTGTACTGGGATATACTGGGAGGGACTGGGGGGAGTCACTGGGATGGACTGGGATTAACTGGGACAAACTGGGACCGACTGGGATGTACTGGGAGCACTGGGATCAACTGGGAGCACTGGCATGAACTGGGATGCAGTGGGAGCACTGGGATGAACTGGGATGGACTGCAATGGAACTGGGATTGAACTGGGAGCACTGAGATGGACAGGGATTGAACTGGGATGGACAGGGTTTGAACTGGGATGCACTGGGAGCCCCGGGGCGCCCCCTGCTGGTGTCCCCTGACGTGGATGGGGCGGGGCCACCCTGGGGACACCTCAGGGACACCTTGGGGCACTTTGGGGACACTTTGGGGTGACCCTGGGGCCACCTTGGGGACACCTCAGGAACTCCTGGGGTCATTTCAGGGACACCTCGGGGACACCCTGAGAGCACCCTGGGGACATCTGGGAGTGACCCTGGGGACACCTTGGGGACATCATGGCGGCCATCGTGGGGTCACTTTGGTACCCCCCTGGGAACACTTTGGGGACATCCTGGGGACACCCTGAGAGCAGCTTGGGGACACCTTGGGGACATCCTGGGGACACTTTGGGGACACCTTGGAGACACCTTGGAGACACCTTGGGGACACCTTGGGGACATCTTGGGGACATCTCGGGGTGACCCTGGGGACATCCCTGAGACACCTCAGGGACACTTTGGGGACATCCTGGGGACATTGTGGGGTCACTTTGGGGAGACTTGAGGGACACCTTGGGGACATTTTGAGGACACCCTGAGAGCACTTTGGGGACATTTTAGGAACCCCCAGCTCAGGAACACCTTGGGGACACTTTGGGGACACCCTGGGGTCATTTCAGGAACACTTTAGGGACATCCTGGGGACACCCAGAGAGCACTTTGGGGACACTTTGGAGCCACTTCAGGGACACCCTGGGGACATCCCTGAGACACCTTGGGGATACCTCAGGAACCCCCGGGGTCATTTCAGGGACACTTTGGGGACATTGTGGGGACGTTCTGGGAACCCCAGACCCTGGGGTCACTTTGGGAGCTGTCGTGGGGCACCAAGGGGACACATCAGGAGGCCCCTGGGGACATTTTGGGGACACCCTAAGGCCACCTTGGTGACACTTTTGGGGACACTTCAAAGCCACCACTCTGGGGACACTTTGGGGACACCTTGAGGAGACCTTGGGGACGTTCTGAGACCCCCAGGGGGACACTGTCAGAACCCCCCTGGGGACACTTTGGGGACACCTCAGGATGCCCCGTGGGGACCCCTGGGGGACACCTTGGGGACACTTCAGGGTCACCATCATGGGGACACCCTGAGAGCACTTTGGGGACACCCTGAGGACACCTTGGGGACACTTTGGGGACATTTGAGGGAGATATGGGAGTGAGCCTGGGGACACTTTGGGGACATCTCAGGGACCATCGCAGGGGCACTTTAGGACCCGCAGGGGACACCTTGGGGACACTTTGGGACACCTTGGGGACAGTTTAGGGGGACATCTTGGGGACACCTTGAGGACACTTTAGGGGGACATCTCGAAGCCACCCTGGGGACACCTTGGGGACATCTCAGGGTCACTTCAGGGACACTTTGGGAACACCTGAAGAACTCTTGGGGACACTTTGGGGACATCTCAGTGGCCATCGCAGGGACACCTTGGGGACACCTGAAGGACACTGTGGGGACACCCTGAGAGCACTTTGGGGACATCTTGGGGACATTTTGGGAACCTCATTGGAGCATCATGGAGACACCTTGGGGATACCTCAGGACCCCCCCAGGGACCCTTTGTGGCCATTTGGGGGCATTTTGGGGCCATCTGGGGACACTTGGGGACATTCTGGGGCCATTTGGGGCCATTTTGGGGCAATTTTTGGGCCATTTGGGACATTCTGGGGCCATTTGGGGACATTTTAGGTCCCCCCAATGAGCACAGACTCAGGCCATGCCCCTTTCCCCACACCATTTTATTCCCAACCAATCAGAACCTCCAGAGTGCTTCAGATGGGCGGAGCCTCCTCCGCTCACTCCTCCCCCTTCCCAACGGTGGGTGGGGCCTCCTCGGGGGTGGGTGGGGCCTCCTCGGGGGTGGGCGTGGCCTGCAAGGCGTGGGCGGCGTCTCTCCAGCGCTGCAGCCAATGGGAGAAGGGGGCGCAGCCAGGGGGCGTGGCCAGGACCCACTGAGCCGGCTGGGCCCACCTGGGGAGAGGGGTGGGGTTAGGAAAAGGGGGTGGGGCTTGGGGTGGGAGGAGCTACACTCCCATTCCAGGCCTCTCTCCCTCCAGGCCCCGCCCCCTCCCTCACCATTGGCTGACGAGCTCCTGGAGGCGGGGCCAGTCCCTGATTCGCTGCTCGCAGCCTTCTCTGACCAATCGCAGCCGGGGCAGCAGCTCGGCCACATCCACGGTGAGGGGGGGTGGGGCCAGCGGCTCTGTCTCCGCCCCCAGGACAGGCCCCGCCCCCCGGCGCAGGCGCAGCGCCCCCTGGCGGAGCTGCTGACGCAAGATGGCCGCCTGGGACAGCAGCGAGCCCTGACGGACACAAGGGGATGGGGGCGGGCTTGGCCACGCCCCCCAAACCCTGCAGGACACGCCCACAATTGGCGGCACCCTCCCCCACCTTTTCAGCCCCATTTAAGCCCCACCCCAAATCCCTCCCACTCTCTCCAAGCCCCTCCCCCACTCTTTAAGCTCCTCCTCTTTCCCTCCAGCCCCTCCCCCACATTTCAAGCTCCTCCCCCAATCCTGCTCCCAAGCCCCTCCCCCTAAATTTAAGTCCCTCCCCATCTTTTGGCTCCTCCCCCATTCCCCTCCCCCATCCCTTAGCTCTCTAAACCCCTCCCTCCTCGAGGCCCCTCCCCCACTCAAGCCCCTCCCCCACCCTTTCAGCCCCTCCCCTCCCCATCTTTAAGCCCCTCCCTCTCTTTAGATGCCATCTGTTTTAGGCCCTCCCCCTTTGAGCCCCTCCCCACTCTTAAATCTCCTCCCTCCCCCTCAAGCCCCTCCCCCTCTTTAAGTCCCACCCCTCAAGCCTTTGCCCCACCCTTTAAGCCCCTCCCACTTTAAGACCCTCCCCCACTTTATCCAATCCCCTGGTTTAAGCCCCTCCCCCATTTAAGCCCTCTGGGTTAGGCCCCTCTTCCTGGTATAGGCCTCTCCCCCTGGTATAGGCCCCTCCCTCATTTAAGCTCCTCCTATCCCTCTTTAAGCCCTGCCCCACCCCCTTAGCCCCTCCCCCACCTGTGCCACGCCCATCTCCCGTGCCAGCCCCCGCAGAGGGGGTGTGGCCTGTGCCGGGGGGCGGGGCTCCTCTCCCAGTGCTCCCAGTGCTCCCAGTGCCAGCTGCCGGCGCCGCAGCCACGCCCCCTCCAGAGGGGGAAGGGCCAAGCCCGGCCCCGCCTGCACCACGCCCACAACCTGCGGCCAATCAGAGACGTCGGGAACTGGGATCAAACTGGGAGGGACTGGTAGGGACTGGGGGGAACTGGGTTATACTGGGAGGGGACTGGAGGGAATTGCGAGGTACTGGTTTATACTGGGATGGACTGGGAGGGAACTGGGTTATACTGGGAGGGCACTGGGATCAAACTGGGAGTTACTGGGATCTCAGCTGGAGTCAAACTGGGAGCACTGGGAGGAAGTGGGAGTTACTGGGAGCACTGGGATCAGAGCTGGAGTCAAACTGGGAGTGACTGGGAGGGGACTGGGTTGTACTGGGAGGGACTGGGGGATACTGGGTTATACTGGGAGGGGACTGGGATGGAACTGGGGGGAACTGGGAAGGACTGGGAGGGAACTGGGAGGGAAGTGCCGGATACTGGGATGGACTGGGTTATACTGGGATATACTGGGATGGAACTGGGAGGGTGCTGGGAGGGACTGGGTTATACTGGGAGGGACTGGGATCAAACTGGGAGTTACTGGGAGCACAGTTGGAGTCAAACTGGGAGCACTGGGAGGGACTGGGGGATACTGGGATCTCAACTGGATTCACACTGGGAGCATTGGGATGAACCGGGATGGACTGGGAGGGAACTGGGAGTTACTGGGAGCACTGGGAGGGACTGGGAGGGAAATGAGGGATACTGGGATATACTGGGAGGGAACTGGGATCGTACTGGGAGTTACTGGGAGCACTGGGATCGGAGCTGGACTCAAACTGGGAGCACTGGGAGGGACTGGGATGGAACTGGGGGACACTGGTTTATACTGGGAGGGACTGGGATGGACTGGGAGGGAACTGTGATGTACTGGGATGGACTGGGGAGGAACTGGGGGATACTGGGATGGACTGGGGTTACTGTGAACACTGGGAGGGCACTGGGATCAAACTGGGAGTTACTGGGATCTCAGCTGGAGTCAAACTGGGAGCACTGGGATGAACTGGGATGGACTGGGAGGAACTGGGAGGGACTGGGAGCACTGGGATCAGAGCTGGAGTCAAACTGAGATGAACTGGGACAGACTGGGAGGGGACTGGGTTATACTGGGAGGGACTGGGAGCATTGAGATCACAGCTAGTGTCAAACTGGGATGAACTGGGAGGGACAGGGAAGGAACTGGGATAAACTGGGATGGACTGAAGGATACTGGGATATACTGGGAGGGGACTGGGGGCCTTAGTGGTCCATACTGGTCCATACTGGTCCATACTGGTCCATACTGGTTTGCTCCCCACCTGCTCCTGCAGCGGTTTCAGCGCCGCTCGGCGCCCCCTGGTGGCGGCGCTCAGGAACCGCAGGCGCTGCTGCAAATGGAGCTGGGGAGGGAAACGGCAAAAATCAACAGAATTCACCCCAAATTCACCCAAAATAACCCAAAAATCAACCAAATTAACCCAAAATTCCCCCGAAACCATCCAAATGTACCCAAAAATCAACAGAATTCACACAAAAATAAACCCAAAATTCACCCAAAATGAACCTAAAATACACCAAAATGAAACCAAAGTTAACCCAAAATGAATCCAAAATCACCTAAATTACCCAAAAATCATCAGAATTCACCCAAAATTCATCCAAAATCCCCCAAAACCATCCAAATTAACACAAAAATCAACAAAATTCACCCAAAATTAACAGAAAATGCACAAAAATTCACCCCAAAATCCCCCCGAAATCACCCAAATTAACAAAAAAATCCCCCTGAAATCACCCAAATTAACCCAAAAATAACCAAAATTCATCCAAAATCCCCCTGAAATCACCCAAATTAACCCAAAAAGCACCAAAATTTGCCTAAAATTCACCCAAAATTCACCAAAATTAACCCTGAAATCCCCCCAAATTAACCCAAAAATCACCAAAATTTACCCAAAAATACCCCCGAAATCATCCAGATTAACACAAAAAATCACCAAACATCACCCCAAAATCAGCCAAATTAACCCCAAAATCAGTTAAATTAACCCAAAAATCTACCCAAAATTACTGAAATTAACCCAAAAATCACCGAGATTAACCCAAAAATTCCCCAAAATCACAGAAATTAACCCAGAATCACCCAAATATCCCCCTGAAATCACCTAAATTTACCTCAAAATCACCATAATTCACCCAAAAATCCCCCCAAAACCACCCAAATTACCCTAAAATCAACAACATTAACCCAAAAATCTCTCCAGATCACCCAAATTAACCCCAGAATAACCAATATTAACTCAAAACCCCCCCTGAGATCACCCAAATTAACCCAAAATACACTAAAATTAACCCAAAAATCCCACAGATCACCCCACAATCACCCAAATTAACCCCAAATCACCAAAATTTACCTAAAAATACCCCAAATTAACCCATAATTAGCTTGCAATTTACCCCAAGTCACGCAAATTAGCCCAAAAATCCCCCTGAAATCACCCAAATTGACCCCAAATCAGCCAAAATTAACCCTGAAATCCCCCCCAATTAACCCAAAATTAACCCAAAAAGCACAAAAATTAACCCCAAATACACCAAAGTTCACCCCAAAATCCCCCCAAATCCCCCCACAATCACACAAATTAACCTCAAATCACCAAAATTTACCTAAAAATCCCCCAAATTAACCAAAAATTAACCCCAAATCACAAAAATTAACCCAAAATAACCCCAAATCACCAAAATTAACCCAAAAAACCGCAGTCAACCAAAATACCCCAAAAATCTCTCCCAAATCACCCAAAATACCCGAAAATCACCAAAATTACCCAAAGTTCCCCATTTCCCCCAAAATTCCCCTTTTTCCCCTAAATTACAAAAAAAAGCCCAAAACCCCAAATCACTCCCAATTCCCCAATCCCAAACCTGAATTCCCAAAATCCCAAATCCCCCAAAATCCCCCAAACCCCCTAAACTCCCCAAAATCCCCCAACCCCCCAAAAACCCCCAAATCCACCAAATCCCCCCAAATGCCCAACCCCCAAAAACCCCAAATCCCAAAACACCCCCAAACTCCCCCCCAAGCCCCAAACATTCCAAAAACCCCAAAACCCCAAAGTCCCTCAAAACCCCCCAAAATCTCCCATTTTACCCCCTCAAAAACCCCAAATCCCAAAACCCCAAAAAACTTCAAAACTTCAAAAACCTCAAAATTCCCCAAATCCCCCAAAGTGCCCCAACTCCCAAATCCCCCAATCCCAAAAAAACCCCAAATCCCCCAATTTCAGCCCCAAATTCACCATTTTACCCCCAAAAATCCCAAAGTCCCCTAAACTCCAAAATGTCCCCAAATCCCCCCAAAACCCCAAATCCTCCAAGTCCCCTGAAATCCCCAAACCCCAAATCCCCCCAAATACCTTCAAATCCCCCAAAATTCTCCCCCCAAATCTCCCAAAAACTCAAATCCCAAATACCCCAAAAACCCAAACCCCTAAAACCCCAAATCCCCCAAAATCCCCAAAATTCCCCCAGATCCCTCTGAAAATCACAAACCCCAAAATCTCCAAAACCCCCAAATCTTAAATCCCTAAAAATCCCCAAAGCCCCAAAATCCCCCATACCCCCAAAATTCCCCCAAATCTTAAACCCTTAAAAACGGCAAAAAATGAATCCCAAAACCCCCATAATCCCCAAAACCGCCAAAACTCCCCAAAAACCCCCAAAACCCCAAAATGTCCCAAATCCCCCCAAAATCTCGAATTCCAAATCCCCAAAATCCCAAACCCCCAAATCCCCAAAATCCCAAACCCCCAAATCCCCTCAAATACTTCCCCAAAACCCCCAAATTCCCCATTTTATGCCACAAAAACCCCAAATCCCAAACATCCCAAAATCTCAAATCCCAAAATCCCCAAAAAACCCCCCAAAATCCCAAACCCCAAAATCCACAAACCCCAAATCCTAAATCCCCAAAACCTCAAACTCTCCCAAATCCCAAATCCCCCGAACTCTAAACCCCCAAAACCCCCAAATCCGAAACCCCAAAAAAAACCCAAACCCCAAAATCCCCAAAAATGCCCCCAAAACCCCAAAATCCCCAAATTTCCCATTTTATCCCCCCAAAACCCCAAATCCCCAAAACCCCCCCAAAAAAACCCAAAATCCCGAATCCAAAATCTCGAATCCTCAAAATCCCAAATCCCAAAACCCCAAAATCCCCCAAACCCCAAAAAACTCCAAGGCCCAAAACCGCCAAAAAAACTCCAAAACCTCAAACCACAAATCCCCCAAAATCCCCCAAATTCCCAAACCCCGAATCCCTCAAAATCCCAAATCCCCCCAATCCCCCCACTCTAAATCTCCAACCCCCAAAATCCCAAACACCCAAAATTGCCCCAAATCCCCAAAATTTCCCATACTATCCCCCAAAAACCCCAAAACCCCAAAAAAACCAAAAAAACCCCAAAACACCCCAAAAATCTCAAATCCCACTCCAAAATTCCCCATTTTACCCCCAAAAATCCCATAAACCCCAAAAAGTCCAAAAACCCCCAAAACTCCAAATCTCCAAATCCCAAATCGAAACCCCAAAAATCCCCAAAACCCCCAAAATTCTCAAATCCCAAACCCCCAAAATTTCCCCATTTTACCCCCCAAAACCCCATAAAAGCCCCAAAAAACCCCAAAACCCCAAAATTCCCGCACTCACCACTCGGCCCCTCCCCCTCCACAGCTGCTGCCGGAGCTGCTCCAGGGCCGAGTTTGGGCTCAAATCCGGGGATTTTCGGGCCAGATTTGGGCATTGAGGATCCAAATTTTGGGATTTTGGGGCCAGATCCAAATTTTGGGGTTTTAGAGCCGATTTTGGAGCTGATTTTGAGGCCAAATCTGAGGATTTTGGGTCCAAATTTTGGGATTTTGGGGCTGAATTTTGTGGATTTTGAGGTTTTGGGGCCGAATTTTGGGGTTTTTGGGGCTCCTGGGGTGGATTTTGGGGTGGATTTTGGGGATTTTGGAGTTCCTGCTGCAGCTGGGTCAGCGCCCGGCCCAGGGAGGCCCGGTGGGCCAAGAGCCCCTCCCGGAGCAGGAACAGCCTGGGGAGGAAATTGGGGTGAGAAATGGGGAAATTGGGAAAATGGGGAGAAATAGGGACTGGGGGGAGAGAATGGGGATTTTGGGGAAAATAGGGGGAAAAATGGGGGGAAAATGGGAATTTTGAGAGAAAAATAGGGGGAGAAATGGGGGGAAAATGGGAATAAAAACCGGGATTTTGGGGTCAAATTTGGTGATTTTGGAGCCAATTTTGGAGCCAATTTTGGGGATTTCAGAACAGGTTTTGGGGCTGAATTTGGGAATTTTGGGGCAGAATTTGGAGATTTAGAGCCAAATTTTGGAGTTTTGGGGCTGAACTTTGTGATTTTGGGACCCAATTTGGGGCCAATTTTGGAAATTTTGGGGCTGATTTGGGGCTGAATTTTGGGATTTTGGAGCTGAGTTTGGGGCCAAATGTTGGGGATTTTTGAGGCCAAATGTTGGGGATTTTGGGGCCAATTTTGGGGATTTTGGGGCTGAATTTGAGGATTTTGGGGCTGAGTTTGGGCATTTTAGAGCAAATTTTTGGGACTTTATGGACAATTATGGGGCTAAATTTGGGGATTTTGGGGCGAATTTGGAGCAGAATTTTGGTGGTTTCAGGCAAAATTTTGGGGTTTTTTTCTGGGGGTTGGAGCCAAACTTGGAGATTTGGATTTGGGGGCTAAATTTGGAGCCATATTTTAGGATTTTGGGGCCGATTGTTGGGATTTTAGAGCAATTTTGGGGCTGGTTTTGGGGCTGGATTTTGGGGTGGAATATTGGGAGTTTCGTACCGATTCTGGGGCTGATTTTAGGGCAATCTGGAGGATTCTGGGGCCAAATTTTGGGGCCAAACTTGAGACCAAATCTGGGAATGTTGGGCTGATCTTAGGGCTGAATTGTGGGGATTTTGGGGTCAAATTTGGGGGTTTTAGGGCTGATATTGGGATTTTAGACCCAAATTTTGGGGCTGATTTTAGGGCTAAACCCAGAGGATTTGTGGCCAAATTTTGGCGATTTTGGGACCGGATTTTGGGGCCAAATTTGGGCATTTGAGAGGCAATTTTGGGGTCAAATTCGGGCCAAACTTGGGGGATTTTGGGCTGAATTCAGGGACTTTACAGCCGATTTTGGGGCCAAATTTTTGGGATTTCGGGGTTGAATTTTGGGGCGATTTTGGGCGATTCTGGGCCCAGGGAGCCCCAGAAGGCCGAGAGCCCCCCCCCAGAGCAGGAGCAGCCTTGGGGGGGAGTGCAGAGGAATTTGGGGTGAGAAACGGGGGAAATTGAGAAAATGGAGAAAAAATGGGGAAAAATAGGGGGGGGGAAAGGGGCATTTTGGGAGGGAAATAGAAAAATAGGAATAAAAATGGGAATTTGGAGGGAAAAATGGGAATAGAAATGGGGATTTTGGGGGATAAAATTCAGGAAACAGGAGAAGAAAAATGGAGACTTTGAGGTGAAAAAGGGGGATTTGGGGAAAAGGCAATAAAAATTGGGAATTTTGGTACATTAGGAAAAATTTGGGATAATTTTGGGTATTTAGGACCAATTCAGGGAGTTTGGGGTGGATTTGGGAATTTTTTTGGTACATTTTGGGCTGGATTTCAGACATTTGGGGATAATTGAAGTATTTTAGGATGATTTAGGATATCTTAGGATATTTTAGGAATATTTCAGGGGATTTCGGTCTCACCTGGTGACTCATCATTGCCCATCCCCCGCTCCAGGTGTGTCCCAGGGATTTTGGGAGCATTTGGGATTTTTGGGGTATTTTGGGCCGGATTTCAGGGATTTTGGGATATTAGAGGGTAATTTAAAATATTTTAGGGTAATTGAGAATATTTTAGGAATAATTCAGGACATTTTGGTGTTACCTGATGACTTCATTGTTGCCCGTCCCCTGCTCCAGGTGCGTCCCCAGCTGCCCCCTCAGTTGGGACAGGTGGGACAGGAGGGGGGGCAGCGCCCCCCACACCTCCCCCACGGCCCCCCAGCACTCCTGGGGACCCCAAAAGCACATCAGGGACCCCAGAATGGCCTGGGGACCCCAAAAATCCCAAAAATCCACCCCAAAAATCAGCTCAGAAACCCCCAAAAGCCCCAAGTCCACCCCAAAAACGACCCTGGGATCCTGAAAATGGACTCGGAAACCCCAGAACCCCAAAACCACCCCAAAAACCCCAAACTACCCCAAAACCAGATAAGGAACCCCAAAAATGGAGCCGGGGAGCCCAAAAATCCCAAAATCTGTCCCAAAACCCCTCAATACCTCAAAATCCACCCCAAAAATCCCAAATCCACCCCAAAAACACCTCAGGGACACAAAAAATGGATTCAGGGACCCCAAAAACCCCAAATTCACCCCAAAACCCCAAATCCTGACCCCAAAATTGCCAAAATCCCCCCAAAAATCCCAAATCCCAACCCTATATGTTCCCAAAATCCCTCAAGTCCCCAAAAAATTCCCCAAAATGCAAATTTCTGACCCAAGAAATCCCCAAATCCCCCCAAAAAACCCCCAAATTCAAAATCTTGACCACAAAAAACCCCAAATCGCCCATCTGAAATCATGACCCCCAAAAAGGCCCAAAACCTGAAATTTTGACCTCAAGAAGCCTCAAAATCCCCAATTTTGACCCCAATCTCGTTCCCCTCCCACTCACCTGCAGGAGGCTCTTCAGGGTGGGCGGGGCCTCGGCTGAGGGGGTGGGGCCAGCCAGGAGAGCTCTGTGATTGACAGGTGGGAGGCCACGCCCCCAACGGCATCAGAAATCCCCTCAGGGACCCCAAAATGTCCTAAAAACCCCCCAAATTCCCTACCACCCCATTAAGACCCACCCACCCACTTAGGCCACACCCATTCCTTTTGGCCACACCCACTCCTTTAAGCCCCACCCATTCGTTTGGCCACACCCACTCCATTAATCCCCACCCACCCCTTTAAGCCCCACCCATTGCTTTTGGCCACATCTACCCATTTAGGCCACACTGATCCCTTTAAGCCCCACCCACTCCTTTAAGCCCCACCCATTTTAGTCCTGCCCAATCCCTTTCAGCCCAACACACCCCTTTAGACCACACCCACCCCCTTAAGCCCTGCCTATCCCTTTAAGGCCCACCCGCTGTTTAAGCCCCACCCACCCCGTTTAAGGCCTTCCTGCCCCTTTAACCCCCACCCATCCCTTTAAGCCCCACCCACTTCTTTAAGCTCCACTCACCCACTTAGGCCCCACCCACCCTTTTAAGCTCCACCCATCCCTTTAAGCCCCACCCACCCATTTAGGCCACACCCACCCACTTAGGCCACACCCACCCACTTAGGCCACGCCCCTCTGTTTAAGCTCCACCCAACATTAGCTCACCCAATCCCTTCAAGACCCACCCACATTTTAAAGCCCCACTAACCCACTTAAGCTCCACCCACCACTTTCAGCTCCGCTCATCCCCTTAAGCTTCACACACCCCCTTTAAGCCCCTCCCTTCCTTTAGGCCCCACCCACCTATTAAAGCCCCACACACCATTTGATGACCCACCCAATCCTTTTATCCCCACCCACCACTAATCGCCACCCACCCTTTAAGCCCCACCCCTCTTTAAGCTCCACCCACCCCTTTAAGCCCCGCCCACCCTTTTAAGCCACACCCATACCCTTTATACCATACCGTCCCCTTAAACCCTGCCCACCCTTTTTAAGCCCCACCAACCCCTCTAAGTCCCATCTACATCCTAAAGGTCAACCCACCCCTTTAATCCCCACCTCCCTATTAAGCCCCACCCACTCATCAAGCCCTGCCCACCCTTTTCAGCCCCACCCACCCATTTAGGTCACACATCTCTAATCCCCACCCAACATTTAGCCCACCTAATCCCTTTAAGCCCCACCCACCCACTTAAGCTCCACCCACATCTTTAAGCTCTACATATGTCCTTAAGTTCTACCCTCACCTTTTATGGCCCACCCTTCCTTTATGCCCCACCCACCTTTTAAAGCCCCACCCACTCCTTTAAGCCCCACCTACCTCTAATTCCCACCCACCCTTTAAGCCCCACCCCTCTCTTTAAGCTCCACCCACCTTTTAAGTCTCACCCACCCATTGAAGCCACACCCCACTGTTTAGGCCCCACCCAACATTTAACCCACCCAATCCCTTCAAGCCCAAACCCACATCTTAAAACCTCGCCCACATCTTTAGGCCACACCCATGCAACTAAGCCCAACCCACCTTTTAAAGCTCCACCCACTTCTTTTAAAACCACCCACTGCATTAAGCCCCACCCATTTAAGCCCTACCCATTTTGGCCACACCCACCTCTTCAGCCCCACCCACTCATTTAAGCCCCACCAATTCCTTTAAGCACAGCCTGCTCCTTTAAGCTCCACCCATGTCTGCAAGCCCCACCCACCCATGTTAATGCCCCACCCATCCCTTTAAGCCACACCTACCCATTTAAGCCACACTCCTGGTTAAGCACAACCCAACATTTAATGCACCTAATCCCTTTAAGCCCCACCCACCTTTTAAAGCCCCCACCCACCTCTTTAGGACCCACCCATTCCTTTAAGCCCCACCCACCATTTAAGCTCCACCCACTTATGCCACACCCACTCCTTTTAAGCCCACTCCATCCATTTAAGCTCCACTCACTATTTAAGCCCCACCCAAATATTTAAGCCCCACCCACTCATTGAAGCCCCACCCACCAGTAAATCCAGCTAATCCCTTGGAGCCACACCCACCCTTTTAAGCCCCACCCACCCCTTTAAGCCCCACCCATCTTTTGAGCCCCCCCCATACATATTAAATGCCTGGCCACCCTCTTAGGCCACATCCACACTTTAAGCCCCACCCATCTCTTTAAGTCACACCCGCCCCTTTAAGACCCTCCCATTCTTTTGGCCACTCCCTCCCCTTTAAGCCCAACCCACTCCTTCAGGCCCCACCCACCTTGTGCTCTGATTGGCCAGGACCTCCAGCGCCCAAAGCACCGCCTCTGGGCTGTGGCCAATCAGTACAGCCTGTAGGGGGCGCCATGTGTCAGAGCACAGGGCGTGGCCTGAGCAGAGCCATGCCCCCTCCCCCAGCCTGCCACGCCCACCTCAGCCTGTTCCGACCAATCTGGAGCCTCCTCAGCCTTCCCGGGGTGATTGGCAGCTCTGGGGTTCATTAATTAATTGATTAATTGAGGGGTTAACTGGGGGTTAAGGAGGAAGGGGTGTGGCTTACCTGTGTGGGTGTGGCCTCTGGAGCTCCGCCTCCCTGGCCTTGCACAGGGCCTTGATTGACACCTGCGAAAGTGGGAGGGTTTGGGGGAACTTGGGGATTTTTGGTGGGTCCTGGGCTGATTTTGGGGGAATTTTGGGGGTCCTGCGCTGATTTCGGGGTCCCTGAATGGTCTCCAGGCCCCGCCCACCATGTCAGGCCCCGCCCACTCACCAGCACTTCCGGCTCTGCCCCTGCGGCCAAGATGGCCGACAGCTCCTCCCGGGATTGGCCCGGCCTGAGGGGACCCAAAAGTCTTTTAAAATACCCAAAATCTCCTCAAAATGCCCCAAAATCCCCCAAATTTACCCATAATCCACTCAGGAACTCCAAAAATCCCATCAAGAACCCCAAAGTCTCCTCAAAATCAACCAAAACCCCTCAAAGTTTCTTCAAAATCCCCCCAGATCCCCTTAGGAACACAAAGTTCCCCAAAAACCCTCAGGGACCCTAAAATCTCCCCAGATTCTTAAAAAATCCCCTCAGAAACCCCAAAATCCACTCAGGAACCCCAAAAATCCCCCCAGAAAGCAAAAATTGCCTCACAATCCCCCAAAATCACCTCAGAGACCCAAAAATCTGATCAAAATTTCCTCATAATCCTCCAAAATTTGAAAATTCCCACCAGGGACCCCAAAATCCCCTCAGGAACCACAAAATTCTTCAAAAATCCCCTCACGGACCCCAAAACCTCATCAAAACCCTTCAAAATTTCCCAAAATCCCAGTAGGAACACAAAATCCCCTCAAAACCCTTCAAATTGTCTCAAAATTGCCTCAGGAACCCAAAATCCTCAAAAAACGCTTCAGGGACCCCAAATTCTCCTCAAAATGCCCCAAAATCTCCTCACAATCCCCAAGAGACACAAAAAAATCTCTTCAAAACCCTTCAAAATCCTCCCAAGTCCCAGAGAATCCTCCAAAATCCCCTCAAAAGTCACCCAAAATCCCCTGAAGGGCCCCAAAATTCAGTCAAGGACCAAAAAATCTAAAAATCCCCCAAATTCCCCCATTGCCCATATAAGGAAATTCCCCCACTGCCCATATAAGGAAACACTGCAAGGCCCCGCCCCTTCCACCCTGCCCCTTCAGGCCCCGCCCCTTTTACCTTTTATGGATTGCCCTCAGCGCCCCCTCGTGGCCGTCCCGCAGCCCAGCTGGGCCCGGCTCCGCCCCTCGCTGAAGCTCTGCCCCCAGCAGCCGAAGCTCCGCCCCTCGCTGAAGCTCCGCCCACCGCCGGCTCTGCGCCTCCTCCAGCGAGGCGTCTGGGGGGGAAAGGGGGACCCCAAAGGTTTGGGGTGAGAACCCCCAAATTTGAGGGTTGGGGGGTCTGGGACCCCTAAATTGAGGGAGGGGACCCCGAAATTGGGGTGAGGATCCCAAATTTGGGGTTTAGGGGGATCCTGGGACCCAAAATATTGGGGAAGGGACCCCAAAATTGGGGTTTGGGGGGTTCAGGGATCCCAAATTTGGGATTTGGGGGGGAGTCACGGGACCCCAAAGTTGGGGGAGGAACTCAAAATTTGGGGGTGAAAATCTCAAAATTGGGGTTTAGAGGGGCTCAGGGATCCTAAAAATGGGGATGGGGACCGCAAAATTGAGGTTTGGGGGGTTCAGGGACCCCAAATTTGGGGTTTAGGGGAGGTCTGGGACCCTAAAAATGGGGAAGGGATCCCAAAATTTAGGGGTAGGGACCCCAAAATTGGATTGGAGTCCGGGGGGGGGTCTGAGACCCTAAAATTGGGGAAAGGGACCCCAAAATTGGGATTTAGGGGGATCAGGGACCCCAAAATTGAGGAAGGGGACCCCAAAATTGGGGTCTAGGAGGACATGGAACCCCAAAATTCGGGTTTGAGTTCATCAGGGATCCCAGAATTGGGGTTTGGCCTCGATCAGAGACCCTAAAAATGGGGAAGGGACCCCAAAATTTGTGTTTTGGGGGTTCAGGGACCCCAAATTTGGGGTTTTGGTGGTCCTGGGAGCTCAAAAAGGGGGAACGGGACCCCAGATTTAGGGCTTGGAGAAAAATTGGGGTTTGGGGGTTTCTGAGACTCCAAAATTGGGCATGGGTCTCGAAAACTGGGGTTTGGGGGGGGTCAGGAACCCCAAAATCGGGATTATGGGAGTTCTGGGACACTACAAATCAGGGGGACCCCAAAATTTGGGGGTAGAGACCCCAAAATACAGTAAGGAGCCAAAAATTGGGGTTGGGGGGGGAGGGGGTCCAGGGACTCCAAAACTGGGAAAGGGGACCCCAAAATTTAGGGTGAAGATGCCAAACTGGGGCTTTAGTGGCTCAGGGACCCCAAAATTGGGGTCCAGGAGGACATGGGACCACAAAGTTGGGGTTTTGGGGGTGCTGGGACCCTAAAATTGGGGAAAGGGACCCCAAATTTGGGGCTGGGGTGTTCAAGGACCCCAAATTTGGGGTTCAGAGGTTCTGGGACAATAAAAATTGGGGGAATCCCAAAATTTAGGGGTGGGGACCCCAAATTTGGTGTCTGGGGTGTTCAGGGAACCCAAAATTGGGGTTTGGGAGCATCAGGGACCCCAAACTTGGGGTTAGGGGAGGGTCAGGGACCGCAAAATTGGGGTTTTGAGTGGGCAAGGAATCCCAAATTTCTGGTGAGGACCCCAAAACTGGGACTTAGGGGCATCATGAGACCCCAGAAATGGTGCGGACCCCAAAATTAGGGGGTGGGGAGCCCCCAAAATGGAGGTTTGGAGGGTAGGAACCTTTGTGCGGGGGCCGCGTTTCCGGCCGGACTCACCGAGGCGCTGCGCCGTCTCCTGTGCATCCGCAATGGCGTCCCCCAGGTCCCGCACCTCCTTCCGGAGCCGCTCCACAGCCGCGCGCAGCGCCCCCTGCTGGCCCGGCCGAGCCGGAGCGGCCTGCGCCAAAACGGGCCCAAAAGCGCCACAATTCAGCCAAAATTCAGCCAAAATTCACCCAAATGTACCTGGGAGTGTGCCCAGGGTTCTCACGATACCCAAAACTCTCAAAATATTGAGAAAATCCCACAAAAAACCCAAAATTCCACAAAAATGAGGATTAAAATTGGCCCAAATCTGACCAAATTCACCTCAAAATTCACCCCAATATCCCTGAGATTGTGCCCAGCGTCCTCACGATACCCAAAACTGCCCCAAAAAAAGAGAAAACCCCCAAAAATGAGGCTCAAAATTGACCCAAATCCACCCAAATTCACCCCAATATCCCTGAGATTGTGCCCTGGGTTCTCACAACACTCAAAGCTCACAAAAAAACCGAGAAAAATCCCACAAAAAATACCCCAAAATCCCGCAAAAATGAGGCACAAAATTGACCCCAAAATTCCCCGAAAAAAAATCACCAAAAACTCTCCAAAATTCCCCCCAAAACTCCCCCCAAAAATCCCCACAAATTTTATAAAAACAAGGCTCAAAAAAATCCCAAAATTCCCCCAAAAATTCCCCCCAAACCCCCCAAGATTTTATAAAAATGAAGCTCAAAATGGACCCAAATCCACCCGAATTCAGCCCAAAATGCACCCAAAATTCACCCCAATATCCCTGAGATTGAGCCCAGGGTTCTCATGATACCCAAAACTCCCAAAGTTTGGGGAAATCCCACCAAAAAAACCAAAATGAGGCTCAAAATCGACCCCCAAATCCGTCCAAATTCACTCAAAATTCCCCTCAAAAATAATCCCAAAAATTCCCCCAAAAATCCCCAAAATTCCCCAAATTCCCCCCCAAAAACTCCCTGAAAAAATCTCCCAAAAATTGCCCCCCAAAAATTGCCCCCCAAAAATCCCCAAAATTTAATAAAAATGAGGCTCAAAATGGACCCAAATCTGCCCAAAATTCACCCCAAAATCCCCGAGATTGTGCCCCGAGTCCTCATGATACCCAAAACTTCCAAACTAACGGGAAAACCCCACAAAAGAACCCCCAAATTCCACACAAATGAGGATTAAAATGGCTCCAAATCCTCCAAAAAATCCCCAAAATTGCCCCCCCAAAAATCCTTCAAATTCCCCCCAAAATTTCCACGAAAATCCCCCCCAAAAAATCCACAAAATTCCCCCAAAAACTCCCAAAAACCCCAAAATGCCACAAAAATGAGGCTCAAAATTGACCCTAAATCCTCCCAAATTCACCCCAAAATCCCCTCAAGTAGCCCTGAGATTGTCAAAGAATCCCAAAATCTTTTTCAAAATTCCCAAAAACCTGAAAACTCCCAAATACCCAAAAATCCCCAAAAATTCAAAAAAAATTCCCCAAAAAATTCCCGAAAACATCCACAAAATTCCCCTAAAAATCCCAAAAAAACCCCCAAAATTCTTCCCAAAAATCACCCAAAATTCTCCCCAAAAATTCCCAATACCCCTCAAAATCCCACAAAAATGAGGCTCAAAATGGACCCCAAATCCGCCTGAATTCCCCCCAAAATTCACCCAGATATCCCTGAGATTGTCAAAAAATCCCAAAAACTCCCCAAAGTCATTTCCAAAATTCCCCAAAACCCCTGAAAAATCCCAAAAGTCCCACAAAAAAATCCTCAAAATTCCCCAAAAAATCCCCCGAAAAATCACTTTTAAATGCCCCAAACCCCCCAAATCCCTCCCAAAATTCCCACCAAACCCAAAAACATTCTCCAAAAATTTTGCATTTCGCCCACAAAAAAAATCTCATTTCAAGCTCCAGAACTCCCCTGGACCCCCCAAAATTCCCTCAAATCCCCTCCAAAAATCAAAAAAGATCCCCCAAAATCCAAAAAAATCCCTTAAAATTCCTGAAAATTCCCCAAAAATCCCAAAATTTCCCCAAAATGTCCCCAAATCTGAGGGAACCTCCCCAAATTTTGGGTTCCCCACCCCAAATCTGACCCCAATTCCCCCTCAGGTTTTGGGTCACCCTCACCTCCAGCTCCTGCAGGTGCCCGTACCTGAGCCCCGAGTTAAGGAACAATTTGGGGATCCCCCAAAAATCTCCCCTTCAATTTAAGGTTGAACCCCCAAATTTGGGAACCCCCACCCCAGATTTTGGGGTTTCCAGAATTTTCTATCCGAGGAACCCCCAAATTTTTGAGGATCCCCCAAAATTTCGGATACAAGCGCAGATTTCCTCGGATCTTCTTCACGTTCCTGTGGGGACACCCCAAAAATTCTGTGAGGGGAGAACCGGGAAAAAGAGCGGGAAAAGCGGCGCGGGGCATGATGGAAGCTGTAGTTCAGGGGGGTGGAGCCTGCAATGATGCTCTATGGGCGGCGCGGGGCGTGATGGGACCTGTTTGCCGGCTATAATGAAAATCAATGGGGCGTGGGGCATGATGGGAGTTGTAGGTTTGGCTATAATTGAACTCACTGGGGCGCGGGGGATGATGGGAGCTGTAGGCTTGGCTATAATGGAACTCAGTGGGGCGCGGGGGATGATGGGAGCTGTAGGCTTGGCTATAATGGAACTCAGTGGGGCGCGGGGGATGATGGGAGCTGTAGGCCCGGAAAGCATCTCCCCCTCCTTCCCCTTAAATTTTGGGGCCCCCTTTCAATTTTTGGGGCTTTTCACTCTCCCCAATGTTGGGGTCCCCCCTCACCGCTGGTTCCGGACGTGGCGGATGACGTAATCCCAAATGGGGGCTGCGGGGCCGGAGCAGAGCCTGCAGGGGAGGGAATTGGGGCACCCCAACATTTGGGGGTGACCATAAAATTCACCCAGGAACCCGAAAATCACCCCCAGGAACCCCCAAATCCACTCAGGATGCCCTAAAAGGGACCCCAAAAGGACCCCTCAGGACCCCCCAAAGGGACCCCAAAATCCCCACAGGACCCCCCGAAACCTCCCAAGGGACCCTTCAAGGGGACCCCAAATTCTCCAGGACCTCCTAAAGGACCCCAAAAGCATCCCCAGGACCCTCCAAAGGGACCCCAAAACCCCCCAGAACTCTCCAAAAGATCCCAAAATCTCCTCAGGACCTCCCCAAACCTCCCCATTACCCTCCAAGGGGACACCAAAATACCCCCAGGACCCCCCAAAACTTCTCAGGACCCTCCAAAGAGACCGCAAAACCACCTCAGGACCCCCAAACCCACCCAGGGCCCTCTAAAGGGACCCCAAAATCCCCTCAGGACTCTCAGGAGGACCCCAAAATCCCCCAAGGACCCCTCAAAAGGACCCCAAAACTCACACAGGACCACCCAAAAGGACCCCAAAATCCCCCCAGCACCCCTAAACCCCCTCAGGACCCTCCAAGAGGACGCAAAATTCACTCAGGACCCCTAAAACCCCCTCAGGACCCTCCAAGGGGACCCCAAAACGCCCCAGAATGTTTCATAGGGACCCCAAAATCCCTTCAGGACCCCCAAAATTCCTCCAGGACCCTCCAAGGGGACTCCCAAACCCTTCCACGACCTTCTAAAGGAACTCCAAAACCTCCCCAGTACTCTCCAAAGGGACCCCGAAACCTCCCAGTACTCTCCAGAGGGAGCCCAAAACCTCCCAGTACTCTCCAGAGGGAGCCCAAAATCCCCCCAGGACCCCCCAAAACCTCTCAGGACCCTCCAAGGGGACCCCAAACCTCCTCAGCCCCCCCCCACATTCCCGCTCTCCCCTCACGGAGCCCTCGGGGGGTTCCCACCCCCGGCAGCCCGAAACCCCCCGGCCCCTCCCCGCCTCAGGGGGGTCCCCATGGGGGTCCCCGGCTGGTCCCGACCTGCGGAGCGCGGCCGGGGAGGGGATGGCGGAGGGCGGCAGCTCCATCTCCTCCCGGAGCCACCGCTCCAGCGCCTCCGCCATCATGGCCGGGGGGCGCTGAGGAGAGCGAAAAACCGCGGGAAAAGCGCCGCGGGGCAGCAGGGGAGTTGTAGTGCGGGAGGGGCGGGGCATGCAATGAAGGGCTATGCGAGGCGCGAGGCATGACGGGAGTTGTAGGCGAGTAACTGGGGCGCTGTGGTGCGCGAGGCATGATGGGAGTTGTAGGCGTGGCTTTAATGATTCTCTATGGGGCGCGGGGCCTGATGGGAGTTGTATGCACACCTGTAATGGGGCTCTATGGGTTATAATGATTCTCTATGGGACTCTATGGGTTATAATGATTCTCTATGGGGCGCGGGGGCTGAGGGGAGTTGTATGCGTGTTTGTAATGGAACTCAATAGGCGTCGCGGGGCATGATGGGAGCTGTAAGCCAGGAAGTTTGTCGATGGGGAAACTTGGGGGTCTGGGGGCACTTGGGGGTCCTAAGGGCCACTTATGGGTCAGAGGAGCCATTTAAGGGACACTTAAAAGGCACCCGAGGGGAACTTTGGGTCTGAGGGCACTCAGGGCCACCTGGTGAGCTGGATCCTGGCTTTACCTGGCCTCTGTGGGGTGCGGGGGATGATGGGAGTTGTAGGCTCTGGGCAGCATGGGAATTGTAGGCGTAGACTGAGGGTCTGTGGGGCGGGGGGAGGTTTAGGTGGGGCACCTGGGAGTCCGTGAGGGCACTCGGAGGTCCTGAGTGGGGGCTGAGAGATCACTTAGGAATCCTGGGAGGCACTTGGGGGTCCGGGGGAGCAACTGAGGAGCAACTTTGGGTTTGGGGGGAAATTTGGGGGCGTGTACCGGGCACTCTGTGTGGCTGCGTGGCATGACGGGAGGTGTAGGCCGGGCTTCCTTTAGACTCTATGGGGCCGCGGAGCATGAAGGGAATTGTAAGCCAGCCATCAATACTTACGTGTAGTGCCGCAGGGCATGACGGGAGTCGTTGGCCCCGTTTCAATGGCGCTCTAAGAGGCCGCGAGGCATGCTGGGACCTGGAGTCCAGCGTTTAATAGCTCAGTTTTCTGCCGCAAGGCATGACGGGAATTGTAGTCGAAAAAAGCCAAAATGGCGTAGCCTTTAGATACCGCCTTCAAGGCCGCTGATTGGTTGCAAGCTATGATTGACAGGCAGGTCGACCAGTGGGAGGTGGCGCCGACGGAAGGCGGGGAGCGGCAGCTCCTGAGGGCGGCGGTGAGAGGGGGGCGCGGATTTTGGGGGGATTTGAGGCGATTTTGGGGCATTTTGGGGGATTTTTGGGATCCCTCACGAGCCTCTCACCCCTGCCAGGCCCCAGGGACGCGTCCGGAGCCGTGATGGCCGCCAAGGTGAAGGTGGAGAAACCAGGTGAGCTCGGCCGGGAGCCCCAAAAACCCCAAAAACCGCCCAAAAAACCCCAAAATTCCACAAAAATCCCACTCGGGACCCCCCAAAACCCCTCAAATTCCCTCAGAAAGCGCCGAAATGCCAAAAGATTTCCCGAATATATCCCAAAACAACACAAATCCTCCCCAAAATTTCCAAAATATTCCCAGAATTCCCCAAATTCCTCCCAGATTCGTCCAGAACCCCCAAATGCCCCACAATTCTCAAAATTTTCTCCCAAATTTCTTAAAAATTCCTCACAGGACCCTGAAAATTCACCAAATTCCCAGAGCTGGACCCAAAAATGCCCAAAAATTCCCCAAAATTCCGAATTTTTTCCAGTGCTGAACACCAAAATTCCTTAAAATTGCCCCAAAATCCCAATTAAAACCCAAAATACCCTCAAAATTCTCATTTGAATCCCCCAAAACCCCAACGAAACCCCAAAAATTCCATTTAAACCCCAAAAATCCTTTTAAGACCCCAAAATTGCCCCAAAAATTCCCCATATCCCCTCAAAATTCCCATTTCAATCCCTCAACCTTCATTTTAAACCCTAAAATTTCTTCTTTAAACCCCCAAATCCCCTCCAGGATCCCCCAAATTTAAAAGAATCCCTCAAAAATCCCAAATTTCCATGAACTTGTCCCCCAAATTCCCCTCATATTCCAAAAAATCCCCAAAATTCTCCCAAAAATTCTCTAAAAATTGCCCAAATGCCCTCCAGAATCCCCCAAGTTTAAAAATAATTCTCAAAAATCCTCAAAATTTCTGAATTTCCCAGAACTGGACCCCCAAATTCTTCCCAAATTCCCAAAAGTTCTCCCCAAAATTCTCAGTTATTCCCCAGATTTCCCCAAAACTGCCCCAAATCCATTCCAGGACCCCCAAATTGCCAAAAATTCCCCCAAAATTCCAAAAGTCTCCAGTATTCCCAGAGCTGGACACCCCAAAGCCCCAAGACTCCACAAAATCCCCCAAAACTCCCCCCAAACGCCTTCCAATATTCCTAAAACTTCCCCAAAAAATCCCAAATTTCCACCAATTTCCCTAAGATTCCCCCAAAAATGCCCAATTTCCCATTTCAGTCCCTCAAAATTCCCATTTTAACCCCAAAATTCCCCCAAATCCCCTCCAGGACCCCCAAGTATCCCCCCAAATTCCCTAAAATCTCTTCCACCATTCCCAAAACATCAAACAAAATCCCCAAAATTTTCCCATTTCAACCCCAAAAAATCTCCCAGAAACCCCAAAATTCCCAAAAAGTCCCAAAAATTCCCCCAAGTTCCCATTTCAACCCCCATAAATCCCCAAAATTCCCAGAGCTGGAGCCCAAATTCCCAAAAATTCCCCCAAAACTCCCCCAAATTCCTTTCCTCATTCCCAAAAATCCTGCAAAATTCCCAAAAATCACCCGAACTCCCCCCAAATTTCTTCAAAAAATCCCCCAAATCCCTTCCAACATTCCCAAAACATCCCCAAAATTCCCATTTCAATCCCAAAATCCCCCTAAAAATTCCCAGAATCCTCCCAAATTCCCCCAAAATTTTTCAAATCTCCCCAAATTCCCCCAATGTACCCAAAAAATCCCCCAAATTCCCCCAAAAATTTCCATTTCAACCCCCAAAAATTCCCATTTCAACTCCCAACCCCTCCATTCCCCCAAAATTCCCAAAAATTCCCCTCAAAACCCCCAAACCCCCTCAGCATTTCCCCAAATCCCCCCCAAGTCCCACAAAATTCCCAAAAATTCCCATTGCAACCCCAAAAATGCCCCAAAAGTTCCTAAAATTTCCCAGAATTTTCCCAAAACTCTTCAAACTTTCCACAAATCTCCCTGAAATGCCTTCCAATATTTAAAAGAATCCCCAAAATTCCCCAAGAAATCCCAAAATTTCCTCAAAAATCCCCTTGTTCCCTGAGCTGGGGCCGTTTGGAGGCCCCAAAATCCCCCAAACTGCACCAAAATTCCTTCCAAAATGTCAAGAAAACCCCACAAAACTTCCCCAAAGTCCTTTAAGAATTGCAATTTAAACCCCAAAAGTTCCCATTTCAACACCATAAAACCCCCTTAAAATCCCAAAACCTCCCCTAAAACTTCCCCAAATCCAAAAAATCCCCGAATTTCCGCAAATTTCCTAAAAAAACTTTAAATTTCCCAGAGCTCTGCCCTGGAGCTGCTCAGCACCACCTGGAGCCCCCAAATCTCCTCAAAATTCCTCAAAATTCCCAGAAAATCCCAAAATCCCTAAAAAATGTCTTCCAAAATCCAAAAGAAATCCCAAAACATCCCAAATTTTCCCCCCAAATATCCCTATTCATGCCACAAAATTTTCAAAAACTCCCCCAAATTTCCCCCAAAAATCCCATTTCAAACCCCAAAACTCCCCCTAAAAATCACCCAAACCCCGAAAGTGCCCCAAAACTGTCCAAAATCTCAAACAAAATTCCCAAAAATCCCCAAAAATGCCAGAAATTCCCCAAATTTTCCCTAGTTTCCCCAATTTCCTAGAGCTGTCCACCGGTGCTGCCCGGCGCCGCCTGGAGCCCCCAAATGTCCTAAAAATTCCCCCAATTTTCCCAAAATCCCCCAAATGCCCCCAAAATCCCCCCAAAATTTCTTCCAAAAATCCCCCAATTCCTTCCAACATTCCCCAAAATTCCCATTTCAAACCCCAAAATCCCCAAAAATTCTGTGGAGAGTCAGGGCTGTGTGTGTGCGGCAGGAATGGGGCTGTACGGTCAGTCAGGGCTGTGTACAGCAGGAATGGGGCTGTACGGTCAGTCAGGGCTGTGTGTGCGGCAGGAATGGAGCTGTACGGTCAGTCAGGGCTGTGTACAGCAGGAATGGGGCTGTACGGTCAGTCAGGGCTGTGTACAGCAGGAATGGGGCTGTACGGTCAGTCAGGGCTGTGTGTGCGGCAGGAATGGGGCTGTACGGTCAGTCAGGGCTGTGTGTGCGGCAGGAATGGGGCTGTACGGTCAGTCAGGGCTGTGTGTGCAGCAGGAATGGGGCTGTACGGTCAGTCAGGGCTGTGTGTGCGGCAGGAATGGGGCTGTACGGTCAGTCAGGGCTGTGTGTGCAGCAGGAATGGGGCTGTACGGTCAGTCAGGGCTGTGCGGCAGGAATGGGGCTGTACGGTCAGTCAGGGATCTGTGTGTACAGCAGGAATGGGGCTGTACGGTCAGTCAGGGCTGTGTGTGTGCAGCAGGAATGGGGCTGTACAGTCAGTCAGGGATCTGTGTGCGGCAGGAATGGGGCTGTACGGTCAGTCAGGGCTGTGTGTGCGGCAGGAATGGGGCTGTACGGTCAGTCAGGGCTGTGTGTGCGGCAGGAATGGGGCTGTACGGTCAGTCAGGGCTGTGTACAGCAGGAATGGGGCTGTACGGTCAGTCAGGGATCTGTGTGTACAGCAGGAATGGGGCTGTACGGTCAGTCAGGGATCTGTGTGTGGCAGGAATGGGGCTGTACGGTCAGTCAGGGCTGTGTACAGCAGGAATGGGGCTGTACGGTCAGTCAGGGCTGTGTGTGCGGCAGGAATGGGGCTGTATGGTCAGTCAGGTCTGTGTACAGCAGGAATGGGGCTGTACTGTCAGTCAGGGATCTGTGTGTGTACAGCAGGAATGGGGCTGTACGG